TTCATAATAGATTAATTTCAAGAATCAACGAACTTTTTAATATATTTTTAAAAAAATTTAAGTTGTCAATTATCATGATTATAAATAATATATTTTACATAATTTTTAAATATATAAAAAACTAAAAAATAAAACAAACAAAACGAAATTATAGGAATTACTCTCAAAGTGCTCAAGCAGGCATGACATGTTGACCTGATGATGAGCACTTTGAAACTCCCAATCATAGTATAGTAAATAAAATATGGAAAATGGTCTGATATACCCCTTAACTATGTCATTTAGAGCTGATACATTTCTCGTTATGAAAGTGCTCATATATGCCCTTGCTGTTCTATAAATGGCACACATATACCCTTACCGTTACAAAAGGAGCTCAAATACACCCTCCATCTAATGAAAGTGAAAAAAATAGTTTTGAATTTATTTTTTGACTTAAAATGTTAAAAACATTCATGTAGGGGTATATATATGATCCTTCTAGCAAAGTTCAAGGTATATTTTAATCTTTTTCATATAAAAATAATTTTTTGACTTCTTTGATTATCACTATTCGAGTTTCTTATTCTTTTTTTCTTTCATTTTTTAGGGTAAAGAAAAAAAAAATCTAAAACTAATTTTTTTGCGGCTGTATTGTAAGTTGGTTTTTGTAAATAGTAGTTTAAAAAATGGGGCATCTATGATAAATTTTACAAGAAAATTGGTGAAACATAAATAAATTTCACTATCATATTAGTTTTTTCACTTTCGTTAGAGGAAAAAGGTATATGTGAGTCATTTATATAATATTAAGGATATAATGAGTCACTTTCATAACGAGAGGTATATCAAACCTTAAAATAGTGGTTAGGATTGACGGCCCGGCCAGGTTTGGTCCCTTCATATGGTTGGTTTAATTTGTGAGGCCACAAAAGTTTGTATCTGGTGAAAATACTCACTAAACCAATACTAGGTCAATGGGGAAGTCCACAGCCACTTGAAACTTACGTAAGATACACGAGAGGAATTGCTTCATCTCAACTTTCTCTCTGGTTGTTATTCAATTTAAACTTCAGATATTTTATTAACAAAGTTGTAGTTTATTTTCAATCATATAATAATCTTTACAAACTTTCATATTTTCTTGAATTGAGAAAAGTTTTCATTTTTTCTATAATAACCGTTCTCTATAATAGAGTAGTATTTCATCATAATATTAAGTTTTTTTTTTTATCCTTTGAGATCCCAAATATACATCAGAATTAAAGATAAAAAACACATTAAAACTATCTCATTTTTTGAGGTTCCTACGTGAACTATTGAGTGAGTTTCCTATCTGAACTATCACCCATGGATAGCGAAACACACCTAAATGTAGTTGATTAGACAAATGTTTGTCAAGGAATGCTTCTACGAGCGTTTATCCACACAATCGTCGTCTACTAATTGACATAAATAACACCTTTATTTGCTGACACATTAATTTTTAAAAAATAAATATTTTTGATTGACTTCCTTAAAACACTAAACTCCCCTTTCAAGTTGGAGATATCAATGTTACGGCTAAGAAAGTGGAGAAGAAGATGATGAATGTCACGGTTGGAATAAACTAATTTATATGGTGATAATTTTATCCTTTAACTTTTAATTTAATATTTATTTATATAGATTTGTCATAGTAGAATTATTTTTCCACGCAGATTGTCACGTGACATAATTTTTAAACAAACGAGAAAATGTACACATATCATGAGAAATTAGTCATAAAGATATGTTTTGCTAACTATTACAGGTAATAAATTCACATTCTCAATATATAGTTCGGATATAAATTTAAAAAATTGAGATAATTTAAATGTACATACTTTTTACTCTTAACTTAATACTCGCTCTGTCCCTAATTACTTGTCCACTCTTGAATTGACACACTTATTAAGAAAACAATTATTAACATAGTGAGTTTATCATTTTACCCTATTAATTATGAAGTGAATGAATTAAAAACTTAAGATTTTTAAGAAGTTCTACCTTTTTCAAAGTAATTCAGTGAGAGTATAATAGGTAAAAAAATTTGTTCTTTTTTGATTTATCAAAAGGCAAAAATACTCATTACCCCCTTGAACTTGAAACTTTTTATACGGTGTACACCTAAACTAAATTCCGTTTTTAATTACCCCCGAACTTGTTTTATTCCTCCGTCGCATACACCTTTTTCGTACACCTGCTCCTATTGTGACTACACGCGCGCGATAGCTGACAAAAGTGGTGATGTGGATTTCCACCTGGATAAATAATAGCCACCTGGATAAATTAATATTGCAAAAAATAAATTTCTTAAATTTAAAATTCATTGTTCAAAAGTTATTTTTGAATAAGGGCTAATTTCGCGGAACTCTTTCTGGATTTGAGTTTTTCTAGACGTGAAGTTGGTCGATTAAATTTCAAATTTGTCTGAAATTCTTACCAAGTAAGTGTTAATCTTTGTTTCCTTTACTTTTCATTTACATTTTGCCCTATTTTTCGTTTAAAATATGCCAAATATTAAAGAAAACTGGAGATTTTACATTTTTTTACCGTTGTAGCAGCTTTGTGATGTGGCAAAAAATCACTTCCTCACGCGCCTAGTAGAGTGTGTTGTCAATTTCTACGCCAGGTGGACGAAAAGGTGTACGCGACGGAGGAATAAACAAGTTCGGGGGTAATTAAAACGGAATTTAGTTTAGGTGTACACCGTATAAAAAGCTTCAAATTCAGGGGAGTAATGAGTATTTTTGTCTTATCAAAATAGACAAATAATTAGAAACAAATAAAAAAAAAATAAACAAATAATTTGAGACAGTGGAAATAGAAGATAATTAATTCATCAACATTTATACATGGAGATTTGTGCGAGGAACATGGATTATGCTTGTTTAATAAGCGAAGGTCAAACAACGAAACCCATTTTGGAATCTACATTGATTGATAACTAGTCTATGATCTCTTCCAAGGTTTTCCTCTTCTTTTTTCCCTATAACAAATAATTCATGTCTTTAATTACTTGTTCACTTTTAAATTGACACATCTATAAAGATAACAATGATTGACATAGTAAGTTTATCATTTTACCCCTATTAATTATGAAGTAGATGAATTAAAAACTTAAGAGTTTTAAGAAGTTCTACCTTTTTCAAAATAATTAATTGAGAGTATAATAGGTAAACTTTTTTTTTGTCTTTTTTCGATTTGTCTTGCAACCAATTGCTACATGAATTTGCGTGTACAAACACGTGAATTATGCCTTATGTTATGATTGTTTAACCCAGTTTCGAATATGATACGACGCATTTAATTGGTATAGCAGAAAAAACTAGATTAGATACGTCTTCTATAGTTAAAAATAATTTAACTCTGGTGTCAAAAAAGTAATAATATAGCACTTGACTTTAGAAGATGCCATATGCACCTGTACAAAGAAATAATTAAGCTATTATTTCTGTTCAAAATTTTAATGTGAACACATGCAAAGGTGATTATTTCTAAGACAATTGGAATTCACCGTAATATATTTTAAATGGATCAGTAAGACCCACTTTCCTCCAATTTGTTAACCTACACGCTTTATGCCCATAATAAAGAAAACATTGGATTTAACTTTTAAGAATGGAAATCTTTAGGTTAAGAAATATTTTAAAGGCATGATATAATTCAACATAAATATCAGACATCGAATAAAGAAAAAAAATATACAACGAGTTCCTTCTCAAAATTGAACAGTACTTGTGTGAGAATAAAAATTCTTTTTAGAAAATTTCTATTGGTTGCTTGGATAAGACTCATCTTCACAAGATTTAAAAGCTGTGCGGCCAAGCCTGTGTTGTCATGTACTAACTTTTTTTTTAATCACTAGTTGACCAATTTAAATAAGTAATCTTCGTTTTTCATTGGGTCTCTCAATTAATCTTTATGAAGTATTTTGGATCACTACCTAAAGTGATTTTGTTTAACCACAAATAATGGTTGAGTGGTTGGGAGACTAGGATCAAATTTAGCCTTCATTTGTTATTCAACTATGAACTCGTCACATGAAATGTGCCTAGTGTGATTTTCATCTCTTGTATAGTTTACAAGCTATTTCACAAAGTGATTGAAATATCAATGTCATAATCAAAATATTCTTAGAAAAAAGATTGAAATATCAATCTAGCTCATAAACATTACAAATTAATTAATCTCGTTATGTACCATAATTTTATGAAAAATTCAATTTTCAACCAAACCAAGCATGATGTGGAATTAACAAACAATATACTATATATCTCATTGCTATATTAAGAGGGAGACAAAGATGAAAACATTGCATGAACAAGGTCTTCTTTTACCATCCTTTTCTTTTACAGTGTACATGAACAATATCACTCATAGGAAACTTCTACATGCCCTTCCAATCCTTGCATGTGCAGCATTTAAGCACTTGTCTTCCCTAGTTAAGACTTCTATAGCTAGATTCTTGCTTTAATGAAGATTAATTCAAACCCTAACATTAAGGACACATTAGGTCAGAATTGGTGGAGTAATATACTATAATCCTATGTATATAAACAAAACAAATTATAAAGACTGACTCTTTGACCCATTATCTATTAGGTTAGTTTGAACGCACCTCGACAATTATATTAAATATTTGTTATCTCCAGCCAGCTACATCTAGATATTGTATATCTTTTTGGTCTGTGTTTTGGAAGTTTAAAATGCTTATTTTTTTAAAGTTTGATCAAGATTTTAGGAAGAAATAAGTGTTTTTGAATAGTTTCAAAAATTATTTTTTCAGTGCGTATTTTTTTTAGAAATACTTTTGAAATCTTAATCAAGCACAAATTGATGCTTTAATATTTTTAAAAATAAACTATTCTTAAAACTCACTTCTAACTAGAAAAATTATACAAAAAAAATAATAAAAAAAAAAAATCGAATTTAGAAGCTTATAATTGTGCCCCTATAAATTCATGCCTCTTACTTCCCTTTACACACACAACTAGCTAAATTCAGTTGAGGAAAATTTAGCAACAATGGCAAAGGCCCTTGTTCTTTTTCAGCTTTCAGTTTTATTACTTAGCTCATTCACAATTGTTAGCCATGCTCAAGATGAGTGGTACTCATTAGACAAAAATGTTGACCACCTTGCACCAGCTCAAGCCCCTAAGCCACACCACCACCACCACCACCATCCCCACCCCCACCCCATAAGTTCCCCAGCCCCTTCACCAATTTATTATCCAACAAAGCCACCAACTAAAGCTCCAACTAAGCCACCAACTAAAGCTCCATATAAGCCACCAACTTATAGCCCATCAAAACCACCAGCTAAGCCACCAGTTAAGCCACCAACACCATCACCTTATTATCCTTCTAGGAAACCTGTAGCTGTAAGAGGACTTGTTTACTGCAAACCTTGCAAGTTTAGAGGGATTAATACTCTTAACCAAGCTAAACCACTTCAGGGTAATTTCTTCAATATCCTTTTTCCTTTTTTTTTACTACATTAAAACTCATCTCATAAATAACTCAACTTTCAATCAAATGCACCATTTAGTCTTCTGAGCATCAACCGATAATATTATACTAATTTTAGAAAATGTATACATAAAATATCTAATTTTACAAAGCGACCATGTATTTACATGTCCCAATTTTCACATTGGTAGTAGTGATGTACATAGTTTTTCACCTTATATGGTCTTACTCTTGAACTTTTGTGGTTGAATTAGACGTAAAACTTTTTTTTTAATCATGGAATTAGAATCTATACATCCAAATTCACGATTTACTGAATTTTGGATGCCATCTTATATTATCCAAGATTCAGATGTCCAATCGATCTTGAGACTTGAGTAGCCGTTGAGTTTCCACATTGGTAAAGATGTACATTATTTACCTCCTTATGTGATTTTAAGCAATAACTTACGCTTATATAATTGGCTAAATTAAATATAGTTATCTTTTAAATGAACTCGATGCTTATCGATTGTACGTACATTATGATGTTGCAGGAGCCAAGGTGAAGCTAGTGTGCAACAACACCAAAAAGACATTAGTAGAACAGGCTGAAACAGACAAGAATGGATTCTTCTGGATCCTTCCTAAACTCTTAAGCTCAGGAGCCTACCACAAATGCAAAGTGTTTTTAGTATCATCAAACAATTCTTACTGTAATGTCCCAACAAATTACAATGACGGCAAATCTGGTGCACTATTGAAGTACACCCCACCAGCTCCAGCTACTCATCTCCCTATTAAACCACCCACCCCTAAATATGATTTCTTTACTGTTGGACCTTTCGGATTTGAAGCTTCAAAGAAAGTGCCTTGCAAGAAGTACTAATTAACTTGGCAAATTAGAAATTAAGATAGGAAGGGATGATGAATGTTTAAGGAGTTAATTTAAGTGTTGGAGAAAGAAACAAATTAAAGATTGTGTTCTTGTTATTTCCATTAATAAATGATCATGTATGAGGAAAGAAGAATGTAGTTTAATTTTCTTGTTTTTTCAATTTCGTTTATGTAATGTTTAAAGCCCAAACAAGTGAAAGGGATTTATAAAGTGTTTGTGCCTTTTTCTAACATAATATTATGGGCTTATGGTTTTGTGTGACTGGTTTCAGCCACCGCACACCTAACACCTTCATGGATTGTCATAGACTCCCGTTTTAATTTTGGAGCAACTTTCACAAATAGCCACTAAAATAGTTTTAATTATGTTCCATAGCTATAGTTTACTAATTACGATTAGTAGCTACATGTTAGAGGGAGAAAAAAGCGAGCGAGATTGGGAGAGGAAGGAGAGAGGTGAGGGTGAGAGGGCAGAGAATGGAGAGATGCGAGTTTTATATGTACATCGGTTAGGTAATTGTATTTATATATATAACTAGTATGTATATGTATCAATGATTGTATTTGTATATCTGCATACAATTTGCTTCCGTATACAATTGAATCGAGTTCAAACATTTGTATTTGTATATCAAGTCTCTCTCACTTTATACAAACACAAATTATACATTTGTATTTGTAAAATTTGTGTTTGTATAGAGAGAGAGAGGGGAAGACAAAAGAGAACTGGGCAGGGATAAATTTGTATTTGTATTTGTGTATCTCGTCTCTCTCGCTTTATACAAACACTAACAAATTATACGTTATGTTTGTATAATTTGTGTTTGTATAAAGTGAGAGAGAGATTGACATAAGAGAATCAAGAGAGAGACTGGGCAGGGAGAGGAGAGAAGCGAGGGAGAGATGACTGAAAAAGAGGAGAGAGGCGAGAGAGAGGAAGAAGGGCGAAAGGTGAGAGAGAGGAGTGTAATTATAGCTAGAAGTAAGTTCCGAATTGTAATTAATGCAAACTATAGCTATGATAGTTAATTAACTAGTATATGTTTGCTTAACCGCATAATTTTCCCTTTAACTTATGCGATTATCGCTTAACTTGAAACTATTTTATTCTTCTTTTTAAAAACTTTGTAATTTTGTGATTTAAAACAGTTATTTTTAATGTGTGATTTTAAAATTTTCATTTTTTTTCTTTTTCCACTATGTTTCTTCCTCACACTAACTTTATCCTTGACCATCTCCCTCCCTTTTTTCACCAAAGACACCATTGCCATCTTACATCCTTATTCCTTACTGGTTATCACTACCTTAAATAACTAAAAATTATCATTGTTCTCCAAGTTTTCATAGTTCATAATTTTTCTCCATTTTTTTTTACCAAGGTCTTCATCCACCACTTGAACCATTGTGAATCTGTTTCCTCCATTAATGCCAATGAACCACCCTAAAATATCTTAATATGTTCTAATATATATATATGTTCCACTTAATTTTACAAAGACATACAATAATCATTCTTCACTCTCCAAAATAAGCAGATCTCTATTACCTAGCCGCCTGTAAATTACCCCTCCCCAATCCCCCAATAGCTTCTCTTTATATATTTTTATCACAAAGACTGAAGCAACTACTTCTAGGATTTCTGAAATACTTTTTGCAAACATATTAAAGATTGTAAAAATGGGGAAAGGGAGCACGAAAGAAAAATGGGGACTAGGTGAGGGGAAGAGCGATAGTGGTGTTGGGTAAGAAAGAAAAGAAAATGGGGAAAAGAAGATTTGTCTTTTTATTTATTTTTTCTTTTCTTTTAATTGGTTTTAGTCTCAAATTTTTCTGTTTACGCTATTTTAACGCGTGAGATCACACGTTTGTTCCACCTCAACTAATAAGTTGCCACATATAATTGGTCAATGGTCAAAGGGGTTTAAAATATTGTGTTTCATTGAGTTTTTCAATTGGCAAAGTCATGAGTAGAAGGGTCTAGTTGACAATCTGAGCCAAGTATAAGGGTTTCCAAGGTCATTCCGCCTAATAAAAATATACATGAGGAACGGATATTAATTGGATTTAACTTTGGCTTAAGTCATACACCGCCCCTAAAGTTGTCCGCATAATTCACTTAAACACTTTAACTAGGACTTGTACCTATCGAACACCTTGACTATTCTGAATTTGAACCAATTAGACACTTTCTGCATATGTGGCACAAAAAGTGAGATTCACGCCATATTGGGCGCGTGAATCATTTAATCAAACACATTTTCAACCTTTTTTTCTTAAAAAATAACAATCTTTTCCAATTTCCTCTCCTTCAAAATTGCACGACCCCTGCTGCTCCTATTTCTTCATAACAATCCACCATCAACATTTTTTTACAAATTTACTTCTTCTAAGTTTATACTTAAATTTGATAAAAATTCCAACGATGCAGGCAACAAGAAATCCATATTCACTTTATTTCTTACATTTCAAGCACTAATATGTTGTTTATCATATTTTTATCCGCGTTAATAGTAATTTTATTAGAGCAGATAAACCCTAGCTTTGTTGTACACAATGACATCTCTTCATTTTTTTTTAACCCTCTTGTCAATTGTCATTGTATTAATTTTTCAGATTTAGAATTATATTCCGCTGTCATTTTCGCCGGAAAAAATGAAAACTACCATCCACATTTCCTTTACCAGAAAAAATGGAGACCATATACACCATCCATGATTCACACCCCTTCTTCCTCCACAACAAAGCAGAATCAAAATTCGAAATCAAAATTAAAAAAGGAAGAACAGATTTTTTAAAGAAAAAATAGCATCAATTTAAAATAGGAATAAAAAATACGGCATAAATTGAAACAAAAATGGTGAATTCATACTTAGTATATGTTAAAATCTCCAATTTTTTCCCCAAGATGAACAATAACAATGGTGGACAAGGGATATCTTTTAGGGAAAGAAAAGAAGGGGGAGGTTTGGGGTGGGTGGGGGTGCGGCGGTTCGGGTGGGTGTGGTTTAAGTAGATTTTTCTTTTTTTTTTTAGTTGAAACTCTTTTTCTTTTTAGATTTAGATTTCTTTATATTTAAATTTCATTTATTTAAAATAATTAAATTAAAATGCCACATGTCTTCGTTTAATTTGTTATTTTGCCATATCAACCGCATGTGCATTACACGCAATTCATTTTTTAACTAGGTGTCAGAAAAATGTTTGATAGGTATTTATTTTTTAAGATTGAAGTGTCTAATAGGAAAATGGATGTGTTGATGTGTCTAAGTAAAATATGCGGACAATTTTAAGGGACCGTCATGACTTAAGCCTTTAACTTTAGTAGTTGACCAACTTCTTCATTGATGATCACATACCCATACTAAAACTGTTTGTCGCAGTCTTACCAACAAGTCATACCAACTTGTATTTTGCATGACTATTTTCGATAAAAGGAAAATTTCAACTCCACTAACTTTTACCCATATTATTTGGAAATTATTCTAAAATAAGGGAAGCTTGTACAACTTAAACATTTTCTTGATCAGTTTAATTAGGTATAAACTATAGTACTATTTGTTACAGTATCTTTAAGTTGAAATTGAAAAGAAGTATATAAATTTTTGTATTTGGATATAATTACTTCACTGATCGAAAATATACAGTGTTATACATGAAAGTTTGAAATCGTCTATGAGCGGATATATATACTCTTAATGAAATTAGTATCACAATGTTTCTAAGTACCTCAAAGTCAAAAAATAATACTTGCAAATACGGATGGCTAAATATACTCTAGAATCCTAGTTTTTTTTTCTTCAAAAAAAGTGGAAATTCATGAGATTTGATTAAAATTCATATCTTTATCATCATTAATTAGTAGAAATTGAGGTATGTCTCTTGTTTTTTTTTAACTATTTTTTATTTTAAAGACAATTTGAACTAGGATTTTATACGCGTATGGGACAATCTCGCATCAAGCCTGCGTAATTTCATTTCACATGATAAAATGAACGTGTTTTAACGATGAACTGGACTTCTAAATCAATTGATGACATTGAAACCCTATTAAGTAAATATGAAATGAAGTTTTGAACAATAAAGGGTTGGATATTATGCGATAATTTTTCTTGTTTTGTGTTGTGCCTTGTTATTCAACAAAGCCTTGTTTGGGCTTGAATTAATGGGTTGGGCCTACAGATATCCCCAAATCCATTGAACTCTTTCGGCTTTAGCAGGCCCAAAATCGGTATTTGATTCGAAACGCAAATTAATATTATTGCTCTAGTTGATAAATATATTTTAATATAGTATATCTTATGTAAGTTTCCCAATTAATATTTGCACAAACAAGGGAAATTTTATGGGTTTAATTTCATAAAGCTCAACTTTAGTTCATGGTACGTAATTCCTTTTTTTCATCAAATCTTGTTGGAATTTTTCCATTCTAGTTTTGGTTGGGTTTCTTTTTAATTCGGACAGATTTTATAGTGAGTAATCATGAGTGCCTTATATTACTCCTTCTTCTGTTCCAATTTATACGTGGTACGTGACACACTTATTTTTAGTCCGTTTTAGAAAGAATGTCACCTTTCTATAAACTAAAAAATTTACTTCAAAATTGCACTTTATCCTTAATGATGTGATTTATAGTTACACAAATGGTCTAAGAGTATTTTAGATCATAAATTTTCAAAATCTTTATTTCTTAAATTTTATATTAAATTAAATGATGTAATATAAATTGAGACGAATAGAGTATATATAGGGTTCAACTTGTTTCATTGGTGATGGCAGAGATCACATCTCCTTACTAAAACTATTTGCAGTCTTACCAACAAGTCATACCAACTTATATTTTGTACTATGACTAGTTTCAATAAAAGGAAATTTCAAATCCACTAACTTTTGGTGACGTGGTCAGAGAGTTTATTAACTTTTACCCACATAATTTGGAAATTATGCTAAATTAAGGGAAGCTTGTAGAACTTAAATATTTTCTTGATCAGTTTAATTAAGTATAAACTATATTAGTTTTTCTAATTATTGATAAAATTTCACATCTCAGTAATAGATATGCAATTAGATTGAACAGAAAGTGAATAGGGATGTGAGCATTTTTTGATTGGTTGAGGCCCTTCGTCCTTCACCGATGAAAGATTTAATCCCATTCATTTCCCCCTAAAAAAAATAAGAAAAGTAAAAGAAAGTGAACCAATGAATTTTTCTTCAACTAATGCTACTACTTAAAAAAATATACTCCTTCCGTTTCAAAAAAAATGTCCTAGTTTGACTTGAAACGGAGTTTAAGAAAATAAGACTTTTTAATTTTGTGGTTCTAAATTAAAGTTATGTCAAAAAAGGAAAGGATCATTCTTTTTGAAACAAACTAAAAATGAAATGAGGTCATTCTTTTTTAAACAGAAGGAGTATTATTTTTTACCCCTAAATCTTGATAAAACAATCCTCACCGTGGATTAACAAATATTTAGAACGTGTGAACACATAGGTTTAAAGATAGTGTTTTAGTTGTTATAGTACTAATAAATATCTTAATGGAATATTTACTGATGAAGGCTAAAAATATTTGATAATCTTGCAAATGAAATTCTATTTAGTTAGGGAAAACTCATTTAATAGTTGAGCCCCATTGTCCCAACTAAAATTTCATAAATGTTCTTTTTGCATGCATGGTCCTATAAATTTGGTCCCTTTTAACGTTATTTTACATACTCAACATAGAGATTTGAAAGAATTATAACAACTAGTATTATGGCTATCATATCAGGGAAGTGGCTATTTGTAGTTTCAGTTTTAGTAGTTAGCTCATTCTTAGAGCTCACTAATGGAGATCAACTCACTGATGAATATTCATCTCATGAATCTTTAAGATTTAGGATTCCACATCGACATCGACATGGACATCGTCATCGTCATCCCCCTAGTCCTCGGCCTAAGAGGCCACCACCTACTCCGCCAACTGAGGAGCCACCAGTTGAGGAGCCACCAATGATTCCGCCACCAGCGCTTCCACCGTCAGTTGAGGACCAACCAATGCCTTCGCCACCAGCGCTTCCACCATGTCGCTGTGACGCACCGTCTCCATCACCATCACTAGTTGATGATCAGCCTTGAGATATGCTTATATATACCAGAAATTTAGTACTAATTAATATGTTGAAAAATTAATATAAAGTTAAGTATCGAGTATTAATACAATAAATATAATGGTTCTAGATTTTAAATCTTCTAGTCTCTTTTCTGTCTTGGATTTATGACGAAATAACATTATAATATACTATAAGAAAACATATAAGCAAATATAAGAATAATCGGACAAATAAATTATCTCTTGACATACTCTTCCTGAAATTAATATCACAATGTTTCAAAATTCAAAGTATATTTAAATCTAATACTTGCAAATACGGATGGCTAAATATATATTCAAAATTATTGAAAATAAAATAATGAAAAAAAATACATAGATACATAACTTAAGATATCATAATTTTTAAAATTTCCTATCTTTTATAAAAATTACAAAAATTCCTTTCGGAATCATCTCCATACCTATCCCCCCTTGAATACATCTCTCTCATTAAGTAATGTATCATTTGCAATGTATCACATAATTAAGAAAAGTATCGGAGTATTGAGAAAACTTTTGGTAAATAAAATATAATTAGCCTCTAAATATATAAGATTTCTGTACATTTCCCAATTGTAGTTTTCTATGAAATGAGGCAGGTCAGGCTCCAACAGTACTTACTGAGTTTCGGATTTTCATTTGGAGCTACAAATAGGCACAAACACATTAAACACTTATGGATTCGGATTTTTGGATCCAATCCTTAATGGTTTATCATTAAGCTGATATAATTAATTAAATTGTATATCATACTTGCTTGAGGGATATAATATAAATATACACGAGGAACGAATATTAATTGGATTTAACTTTATTAGTTGATCAACTTCTTCATTGATTAATACATCTCCATACTAAAACTGTTTGTCGCAGTCTTATAAACAAGTCATACCAACTTGTATTTTGCTTGACTAGTTTCAATAAAAGGAAAATTTCAACTCCACCAACTTTTTGTATGGTTAGCGGATTTATTAACTTTTACCCACATTAATTGGAAATTATTCTAAAATAAGGGAAGCTTGTATAACTTAAACATTTTTTTGATCAATTTAATTTGGTATAAACTATAGTACTATTTGTTACAGTAGTTGTATTTTTAAGTTGAAATTGAAAAGAAGTATTTACATTTTTTTTAATTTGGATATAAGTACTTCACTGATCGAAAATATAAAGTAGTATATATGAAAGTTTGAAATCGTCTATGTGCGGATATATATACTCTTAATGAAATTAGTATCACAATGTTTCTAAGTACCTGATAAAATCAGCAGCATAAGTCTGCTAAATTGCTCTGTTCCTCCATTAATGGAGGTCAAGCTTGTGCACAGAGGTACTGGATTGAAAGAGAAGAGAGAACTTTCATTGAAGAAAAACTGAAACTATAAGTGTTACATTGTGTTCCTTATATACAATTTCTAATTACTAAAATCTAGAAGCATCTACTCAATTCTAGAATAATGAAAAGCAACTAACTAACTAACTAACTTCACTGTTTCAACTAACTAACCAACTCTACTGTGCTAACAGACTTCACTGTACACACTATATTCTCAACACCCCCCCTCAAGTTGGAGGTGAGGTAATTACAGACAACTTGTTCAATAGAGTAGTATGTTTAACCCCAGTCAAAGCCTTGGTAAAGATATCTGCCAACTGTGAATCAGTGGGGATGTGATGGAGTGTGATCAAGCCTTGTTGGATTTTAGTCCTAACAAAGTGACAGTCGATTTCTATGTGTTTTGTCCTCTCATGAAAGACTGGATTCTTAGCAATATGGACTGTTGCTTGGCAGTCACAATGGACATGTATTGGCAAGGAGCATTTGATAGTCAATTCATCAAGCAGCCTTTCAAGCCACACTAATTCTCCCACAACTTGTCTTACAGCTCTGTATTCAGCTTCAGCAGAAGACAAGGATACTGTGGCTTGCTTCTTAGACTTCCAACTGATAGGGCTATCACCCATAAGCACTAGGTATCCACTTACAAACTTCCTTGAATCAGGGCATGCAGCCCAGTCTGAATCACAATAAGCACTAATAGTGAGATCAGGTTTGTTTGAAATGAAGATCCCCATTGTAGGGTCTTGCTTTAAGTATCTCAGTACATGATAAGCTGCTCTCAAATGTGGCTCCCTAGGTGTTTGCATGAATTGACTTAAGTGTTGTACACTGTAAGCTATGTCCATTCTGGTGTTGGTAAGAAAGTTTAGTTTGCCAACCAACTTCCTATAGTGAGTAGGATCAGACAAGAGCTTGCCATCTGTAGCTTTCAACTTCTCAGTGCAATCAAGTGGTGATGTGGTGGCCTTGTAGTTCAGTACATCAAAATCTTTCGAGAGATCAGAAGTAAATTTTCTTTGTGAAACAAGAACACCATCATGTCTGTATAAAATTTCCAGTCCCAGAAAGTAGTGTAATTTGCCCAGATCCTTTATCTTGAACTAATCATTCAGGAAGACCTTTAAAGAGTTGATCTCATCAATATCAGTCCCAGTCATAATTATGTCATCTACATATATGGAAACAAAAACCAAGGAACATCCTTTCCTTTTATAGAATAGTGAATAGTCACTATCTGAGTGTTGATATCCTTTTGAACACAAACTGTGTGCCAACTTGTCATACCATTGTCTGCTAGCCTGTTTCAATCCATACAAGGATTTCTTCAATTTGCACACCATGTTATCACAACCTACAGCAAGACCTTGTGGAGGTGCCATGTACACTTCCTCATTTAAATCACCATGCAAGAATGCATTGTTGACATCCAATTGGTATAGATCCCAACCTTTCTTAACAGCCAAAAAAATCAAGGTTCTAACAGTGGTCATTTTAACCACAGGTGAAAAGGTTTCAGTGTAATCTATCCCAGCCTGTTGTGTGTAGCCTTTGACTACCAATCTAGCCTTGAACCTCTCCACACTCCCATCAGCCTTATGTTTGATTTTGTACACCCACTTGCAACCAATAGTTTTCTTTCCTTCAGGTAATGTGACAATTTCCCAAGTGTCATTGTTATACAAAGCTTCAAATTCCTGTGTCATAGCCTGTTGCCAGGCAGGATGCAAGATTGCCTCCTCAAATGAATTAGGTTCACATTCATGTGAAATGGTTTTCACTAACTGCTGACTATCAGAACAAAAACTGCTGAAACAAACATGATCATGTTTGGACATAAAAGAAGTAAGGGAGTGCAGGCTAGGCAAGGTGTATTTGTATTCTTTGAGGTAATTGGGAGTATGAATTGTCCTAGTGGTTCTTCTAAGTGTTGGCAAAGTATTATTGGAATCAGACAAAAGATGTTGTGTCATAGGTTCATGAGTGATTTCAGGTGGTGTTGAGTGTGTTGAGGTCAGATTGGTATTAATAGGTACTTGGTCATCAGTGATCTCATGTGATGTGAAATTGTCCAGCAAATCATCATTAACAAAAATGTTTGTTTTCCCATGCAGGCAAGTTATATCAGTGGTATGAATTAGCATCTGTAAGATATAATTAAAACTAGAGCCAACAGAAGCAATGACAAATGGAAATACTTTTTCATGAAAAATGACATCTCTAGATATATGAACCTTTTTGGTAGCTAAATTCAGAACCTTGTAACCTTTTGTGTTGAAATGATAGCCAATAAAGATGTGAGGTGTGGTTCTTGGTTCAAATTTGTCCTTATGAGTCTTCAAGGTAGTGGGAAAACAAAGACAACCAAAGCTTTTAAGATGAGAATATGTGGGTTGTTTGTGGTATAATAGTTCATATGGAGATTTATTGTGAAGCAGTTGAGAGGGCAATCTATTTATGAGGTATGTGGCAGTCAATACACAATCCCCCCAGTACCTCATGGGTAACTTTGACTGGAACAAAAGAGCTCTTGCTGTTTCAAGAAGGTACTTATGTTTCCTTTCCACTATCTCATTTTGCTGAGGTGTATAAGGACAAGTTTTTTGGTGTATGATGCCTTTGGAATTAAAGAAGTAAGTGGCCTCAGCTGAAGTGAACTCCAGACCATTATCAGATCGATAGCTTTCAGCTTGGTTTGGAATTGATTTTCTATGAGGGATATGAAGGCTTTGATCTACTGTGGTCATCTACCATAGTGAGAAAGTAATGATAACCATCATGAGTGGGAATGTGGTATGGTCCCCATAAGTCAATGTGTAGTAACTCAAACACTTTAGTGGTAGTAGTGGTACTCTCTGGAAAGGGAATCCTAGTTTGCCTAGCCATAGGACATATGGTGCAAGTAAAACGCTGTTTATTTGAAAAATTTATAGGGATATTTGAAATGTTTTTCATTTTTACAAAAGGTACATGTCCTAATCTAGCATGCCATAATAGTTCATCATCATGAGTATGAGTGGAAGTATTAGCAAATGAGGAACAAGAATCAGTGAGACAAGAATGAGAAGAATGAGAATTAACAGCATTGCAAACTTCTTTATAAATAGAAGGGCTTTTTACAAAAGATGTGGTGCACACATTAGGATTTTTCTTCCTGTCAATATTGGCTACAGAAGGAACAAGATGACAAGTAACATGTGGATTATCTTGAGCAGAGGATGCATAACAGTTGTGGCACTTGTGACATAGGAAGTACAGACCATTCTTGGCTCTACCAAGTTCCAGAGGGCTCTTCAGAGAAGGGCCCTGTAGTAAACAAAAAGATTTGTTAAAGCTGACTATACCATTGAGTTGTAGTGCTAGGCAATTAACAGAGATCAGATTAAACTTAAAGCTAGGAACAAACAATACTTTGTTCAGAGTCAGTGCTGGACTTAAGCAAACATCACCAATTTCAATCACTTTGACCTTATAACCATTAGGCAATGAAATTAGGAATGGGTATGGAAGTGATTTAATGTTTGTGAGGTTGGTTTTGCTGTAAGTCATGTGGTGTGATGCTCCTGAGTCTATGATCCAAATAGCCAACATTTAGTTTGACACATTTACAAGAAAGATCACCAATATCAGTAATAGAGGAGTAAC